TTTCAGTACAAATCGGCAATTTCATACTTTAACCCCTATTAAATATACTAGTAAAAAGTACCTTCTGCATTGTAAGGAATCACTTCATTGTCTTCTAATTCGTCGGCCAATGCTACACAACTTTTCTCGTCATCACCTAATGGACAGTCTGGAGTACCATCACATACCCTGGCCATCTCAATACACTGGCGAGCATTTGCGCAAACATATTGTCCTTCCTCACACCACTCTGAAAAATTAAACAACAATTTATTATTAAATTATGAAATTACGTAATACGAATATCTAGTTACTTTTGGTGAACAATGTTTGCAACCATACCACATTTGTTTTCATCAGAATAATCCCAGCAATCCACAATTCCGTCACATATTTTGGACTGCGAAAATTCGGCTCGCAAATAGTCGGCGCAGGAGCATGCTTTCTCGTCCTCTCCACCAGCACAGTCCAACAGTCGGTTACAGCGCGACGTGATAGGCAGGCAAGCTCCGGTCCAGCACCGGAAGGACGTCACATTGTTACATTCCTCTAAAAATAACACAGAGTCCAGAAAATTGTCCTCAATATATTTAATAAGCAACTGATACAAGCTGTTCCGGCTTTTACCTTCTTTGACGATCTCTTTAACGATATTCTCTTCTGTTTCTTTAACGGGCTTAACAAATGGTTTACTGTAAATTTTCTCTGGTTTGTTCAAACTGTTTTCTTCTTGTTTTGTAGGAATTTTGTTGTACGTTTTTGTTAAAATTTTAAATCCAGCTTGGTTTAGGGTGTAACTGGAAGGTATTGCCTTTGTTGAAATTACACCCCCGGGGGCACGAAATAAAGTGGTGTTGTTGGAGTCGGAGATAGTGGCAAGACTTGCAAGTTGTTTTAACTTTTCAATAGTTAATGTATTGGTATGATTAACGGGTATTTCCAAGACGACGTCAGGCTCGAGCGTTAATTCATAGGCAGGAAGACTTTGAGTTTTATTAGCTTGCTTACTACTTACAGTCCCTGTTACATGGTAAGATACTCTATAAGTCCCTTCGGGTAAAACGGTGACGTTTGTAATATGTGTATTCTCAGCTGTAATACTATCTTTAATGGGAAAGTTTAGCTCATCACTTGATTTTGGAAGTCTGTTACTAGTTGAAGACATTTCAGTATTGTGAACCTTTATGCTATCAGAAACATTGGTTAAGAGCATTTCGTCACTTGAATCTTCATTTTCTACAATTGAAGAACTTGTTACGATTTCTGAAGCTTCTATATTGGTAAAGTTATGCATTTGGATGTATTTTTCTGTACTAAGGTTATCTATTATCTTTTGTGTTTCTGGGTCACTACGAAAAAAACTGCGTTCATCTTCTTTTAATGCTTGTGACTTCAAATCAATCTTCGGTCGAGGTCTCAAAGGACGGTTTACCCCAAGATTCGATTTTGCAGGCAATAGCGTGATTATCACAGATGTAGTGGTTTCTATTTCCTCGTCAGACACTACTTCAACAGATCCCATTTTGTTATAATTATGACGTTCGTCACCTTCTGGCTTTTGTTTTTCTTTCGGTGGTTTGTCTGTATTATGGGTATACCTCTTTATAATGTCTGTTAAGTTCTTGAGAATAGATACTTTGTTTGTGAATTTAGGGGTGGTATTTGGAAATACAGCATCATTTTTGGTTATAATTGCTTGCAAAGTATCATTGTAATATTTTTCTGGAGAACTTTTACTAAACGTTTCATTATTATTGGTGGACGTGTTTACTAATTCCCATGTATGGTGAGGAGCGCTTGTGCTGGGAATATTTGATACTTTATTATTGGGACGTTTTGCAGAGTTTTCTTTGCTGATGTTATTATGCTCTTCTTCAATTGTTTCAGGGGTACTCGATAGTAATGGGGTAGGAGTTGTGATAGTATCGTTTATGTCTTCGTCGGTACTGGAGTAAGTAATTGTTGTTGTAGAAATTGTGGTACTAGTCTCAGGAAGCTCAGTAGTAGTGTTCTGTTTCTTTAAAATAGAAGCGCCTTCTATTGCTACTTTTTCGGTGCTATTGTCTTGTTGATCCAATTGCATCACATTCAAAGACACAGATGTGGTTTTCTCTTTTGGGGGTCTCTCAACAGGTTTGCCGTCATTATCGTCAGAAGAAGAAATTTTGTCCGATGAGACCTCTACTACTGAGCTAATCTTATCCACAGGAATTGGGTGCGGTTTGGGATAATTTGATCCCAATGTTTCGGTATTTTTTAGGGGCGGGGCGAACGTTGGCAGAGTGAAACTTGTGTAGATGGGACTTGGCACGTATACTTCAGCGGCCAAGTTAGCATCCATGTTGTATATCCCTACTGGCTTTTTAGTAGATCTCTCTCTGTGTTGTACCGGAGGTATGGGTGTGAGCATACTTTCTAATATTGAAATATCATCCTCCACAACTTCTGCTACGCCTATTCTATCTTTAGCGTTTTGATCGCTAAGTGCTTCGTCCATAATAGGTATTGTTTTAGTCGTAGATTCATAATATGGTCTTGTTATTGGTCGCCATGGCTCATTGTCCACTACATGTGGTACCGTAAATAATGTATCGATTTTTGGTAAGTCCTTGTAATGATTCTCGTTCGTCAACAGATCGAATAATATTTGTGACAGGTTTGCAGTTGTTGATTGGACAATAGGCGTCGTAGATACTGTAGTTGATGTCGTAGTTGTGGAAGTACTTACTTTTTCATTTTCTTTCTTAATAGTGGGTTCAGTTCTTGGTTTGACATTGAGTGTTGATGTAATAGTAAAAGGTCGAGTATTTGGTGTACTAGAAGGAACTCGTTTTGTTGTAGTTGGTCTTGCTGTTGTTGGTTTTGGCGGAGGAGTTCTCGTACTCGTATTCTTATTAGCTACTGGAGGTCTATGGCTACTTTTATCGTCATGACGTGAAGGACTAGAGCTTTGCTTATTCTCTGTTATATCAGCTTCAGTCTTTGTGATCTGGAATGAGCCTTGTACTACAGGAATATTTTCAGTGTCTATTTCCGGTTCATCTGGATCTTTCTTTTTTGTTGCTTGATTTGGTTTCACAGTCGTCTTTCTCACAACTCCTACTCTAGTTTGAAGCGTTTTATCTTTTCCGTTTTGAGATGGTGGAATTTTTGGATGGTTCACTGCCATGCTTTCGTTCATAGCTTCTTTCACGAAAGATTCAGAATGATAGGTATGCTCTAAATCCCTCTTGATTACTATACTAGATGTGTCAATTTTTATCTGTCCAAATGCAGGGTGTTTTGATAATAAATCTTGAACTAAAATATTCTTTAGCGTTTCTTCTATATTCGATACCGAACTGAAACAAAGAAAAAAATATATATTTAGTGTTAGCGAACAATCAAATGGCAATTTAACATAATAAAAATAAACATATCATGCACATACCTAGGAATTTTTCTTCTGTCAAGATACAGTCTGAAGTGCACATCCAGCTGCCGATCGCCGAAGCCAGTGACGTGTGCCCCTGCAAAGGCCTGCCGCAACAAAGACGGCGCGGCGTATACTTGCCGTAATGCCGCCCCGTATCGGCGCGCACGTTCGCGCCATGCAGGGCTGTTAAGAGCTCCTCCGTACACATCTCCACGCGTCACTCGGAGAGTTCCCTCGAATGACATAAAAGCTGCAAAAAAAAACAAATCCAACAACACCTAATATGTATATGTAAGTGTAACCATAAGTTATATGTTGTATGCATGATATTTTACTAAGTACAAAACGCAAAAAAGTTAGTACCTACAATAACAGCAGAATGTCTGTAACAACTTGTTCATAGAAGCTATACTTATTATTGAAAACCTAAATTATGACCTTAATATTAATCGTAGACCTTTTATACTATTTACACTGATTCAGAGATAATTAATGTCTTCCCATCGCATGCCTCTGAGTTTGTGTACTTGAAGGTGTCAGAACTTACGTTCGCCGTTGTCGGGTCTCAGGGCGCCCATGTAAAAGGCGAGAGCTGCTACCGCGAGTACAGCCACGGCCGCCAGCAGGGCTCCGCCGACCAGCGCCGCGGAGCAGAGTCCGCTGCTGCGTGAACTGCTGCTACGAGGGTAACCTCCGCCCGCGAAGCGGTATTCACTCTGTTGGCAACAAGATCAACTATTCATTTATATTTCCTTAAAGCATCAATATTTGATATTTAGTTACTCGGTATTTTTTACGAATACAAGAAGGCATCAAAGTGCGTAATATGTGTTGGAACCCCGAAGTACGACAAAAATCACAAAGGAAAAGAGAATGCTCGTGTTGATTTACTTCTACAAAACAATACAACTCAAATACATGTTGCATTATTTATACTTTGTTTTATATTCTACAAATATGCCTGTATTTTACTCTGAGAAGGAAAGGAATGAATGTAATAAACCTTTGATACATACTACAAGACTTCGTATTAGTTTTTTTGTGTGTGCATATTTCGCGCTAGTATGATACGATTTAATTCAATTTTTTCTCACGTTGACAGCTGTTTTTGTTGCGATCCTCAAGGTTTCGTACGATGTGCTCTTAATATTATATAATGGGTCTGGTTCTTTGTTTCTTATTTCCTTGTGTCGTAACAATTTGTCAATGGTCATAAAAAGGACATAAAGATAATTTATTCAATATAGTCAGCGGGCATGGGAAATAAATCAATTAGACACTAGCTGAGTAGTTTAGAATCCCCACGACCATGTCACAATAAATGAGCGAATTCAGAAGTTAATTTCCTAAGTTTTGTATAAAAAAATTATATGAATATAAGCTTTATACGCCCTACATCGTTTATTTAGTTAGAGTAGGTATAGTTTCCCAGTGGGCGCTGAAGAGTCCTAGGAGCCTTGGAAGCTATTGGGTGGCGCTGATACTGTCCAGGGGGTGCTACCGCATTTGAAAAAAAACCTGAATTATCCATATAAACTACATTACATATGTATATATAATTTTTTCCTTGTGGTTTTTTTGTGTTAAGTTAACATAAAAAAAATACGTGTTTTCAATCTTTTTTTGGCAGTGGGCGTTGAAATTTTTTTACCTTGCGTCAGTGGGCGATGAGTCAAAAAGTTTACCTTAGTTTAGTAGACCTCTAGAAATCGAAAATTGGCGATTTTCAGATACATCTTTAATTTTATGTGGAATATCTCAGTAAACCCCTATTGGCTCTAACCTCTTTTATCATTTCGCCAATGACATATTACGCCTCACATCAGCGACGACGTCCTCTGTCCGCTCGACATCTACACCGCGCAAAAGGACTAAGGCTGATACCATTCTACGAGGCCACGGCTTTCCTTAAATTGGACTTATTTATTAATACTGACATGTTCAATAACTCAGAATCGAAATACTTGGAGACGGTCACCATACGAAGCTCTGTGGTCGAAATTTCGCAGTTTATTTTCGGACGGTAATAGAATCAATCCTTATTAGTACCTTAGTAGTATTAGGGTCAAGATAGGAAGAGACCTTGTTTTGTTCACTTATTAGTAATGCTAATGTAAGTAGTGCAAAATAAACAAATGTTTGCGGCTAGTGAAGGTTTGTTTGTACCGACTTTCAAATTGTTCTTGTACTTATTAAAAGTTCAAACAATATAATTATTAATACAAAGATCGAACACAAAGAAACGTGTCTTCGACCTGATAAGACTCGAACCTGCGTCTGTGCCACACCAGGCCGCCTTGGTTTTTCTTTAAGTTCGATCTTTGTGTTAATAATTCAAACTAGTGGAGTAATTTCACAGAAAATAAATTAACGTGGTAATAACATATTAATTACAATCAATATTAAAAAAATATGTCCATTTATTTAAGAAGGATACGAACAAGAATAAAGGCTGATTAAAGCATAATATAGATATTTTACTGTGCACGGAGCACGGTTCGACCCCGGCACGGATCATATAAATCAACGAAAAATTTACCGATTAATATTAATGATAAAAATATTTATCTTACTTTGTTAAAACTACATTTTGTAATACGAAATAGTTTCCAAGAACAAATGACTTCAAACAGAAGTAACCATTTAACATAACTAAAAGAACGAACACTAAAGTTCTATATGTGCACGTATACGTAGAATTCGAAGTAATTTCGCCAGGACACGTCGTTCGGCGATCATTACGGGTGGGAACTTGGGCTGGGAACCGCCCGCGGTGACCCATCTATCTACCGTACCCGTCGAATGCCAGTACATGTAAAGGACCACGCCATTATCACTTCACACCGTAAATCTCTGCCTGATAGATACTATTATCCTAACGGAACATAGATTTTGGCATGTTACATTACTTGCTTATTTCATATATAGTACATTTTTTTCTTTGGTAAAGCGTTTTCGATTTTAGGTTAATATTTATTCAAAATATGTAAAATTAATATTACTTTTAAAAGCTTAAACTCCGAACAATGTATGTATATTGGGTTAATTTTTCTGTTTCCATTATTTATTTTTATTATCTTACAGCGTAATTTGATCATTTAATAGACTCCAATCAAAACTCAGAAACAAAATATTGCCTGTTTTTGTTTTTGTCCTCAATAATTATACCTACCTACTGTGGGAGCGGTGGCAATTATAAAAGGTTTGACATTTTTACAAACGCAAGAATGAAGAAAGAACAACTGAGATAAATGAGCCTCTGGACGTTACGTGGAGGAGAAATATATTACTCGGACATATTATTTCATACCTGGCCACATACATGTTGCCTGTTTTAGGAAATCGTGTGCGGTGAATATATTATTATCACTCATGTCAAATTGGGATACTTTTCGGAACAAACATTGTTTCAATGTCTACAGAGATATTTTGAACTGTTTTTAAAATGCTTTCTTGAGAACATTGACTTACTTGAGAAAGTTAAATTATGTATCTACTTTGTAAAACTAAAAAAATCCTTAATTATACCTAATTTGGAAAATCACAACCAATATTATCTACATATAATAAATTATTAAGTATGTATTCCATTATAATACAAAATACTTACAATACAAAAATCTTCAGCATAAATTGTTTTTGTGACATACGAGTACATTATGTTATACAATAAATAAGTAAAATGAACAACAAAATTACAGGTTCCACTGAGAGTTGACCTCAGGATCGATGGATTGAGAGACCTGAGTGCTAAGCAAAAAGTTTTTATAACATAATATGTATAAATTTTAATATTTCAAATAAATATAATAAAAAAAAGAAAAGAACAGGTCCCACCGAGATTTGAACTCGGATCGCTGGATTCAGAGTCCAGAGTGCTAACCATTACACCATGGGACCGTTGTGTAGCACTGCCGAAATAGTGAACCAGTTGATTTATCTCTCTCTCTCGTGAAATAAAAATATTGGCTACGCTCGAAGCACACTTCTATTTGCAACTTTTGCAAACTTGTCGTTTTGTAGACTGTAGCACCTTTTGTAATACGATTTAAATTAACTTATCTGATTGAGTATTTTCTAATGCTTACTAAAATAAACAATTGAAATAATATAATTTTATTTCGCCGCGCCCTCTTAGCAATATTATTATACCTTTGAATGTGACTACTTTTTGAATGCTGCTTATAATTTTTGTTTGTTTGTTCACATTAATATACCCCCATTACACCTTAATATATTTATAGTATTAATATATGTATAGTCTATATAAGAACATAATTTTTAGAGTCATTTGGTTAGATTTAAATAGCATAGTAGCATCTAATAGTCTGTGGTTGTATCATACTAGCCCATAATTTTATAACATACTTTTTAGAGGCGTTTCTCTTTTGAAGGTCTTCGTCCAATTAAGGTTTCCTATTAGCGAAGTGCAAATGATCTCATGATCTCTCATAACAACCATCGCATTTAAATGAGTTAGTATGACAAGACGTTCCTTATCATAATAATTAAAGTGACTAATTTGCTATTGTACAATTATGTCGACTGCCGAGTCTTTAAAGACGACCTGCTGACCGTGGTCTTAATGCAACTGGGATGCAATAATGCTCCCCGCATTGAATCGACTGTCATACAATGCTGCAATTATTTTCGAGGCACATGCCAATTTCACGCTAGTTGAACACCAATTGACGTCTAACTATAATTGCTTGCTATTTGACACAATTAAAACGAAATAATTAATGTTGATACATTGGAATTTCTATATGTGATTTGTTTTTTGTTGCTATGATGGTCAAGCTCGATGAAGCTTTAGTAGGAAAATAATCTGCACTTGATTGCCTGTACACACTGTATTAAGTATATTCACGGCTCTTTATATATAAATAAACAATGCGATGTTTACCTCGTGATGCATGTTTCAAGGCTGTCGTTCAGTGTAATACCTATACATGTACTATTAATAATCATTCACTCTACTTTACTTTGATTTATTATGATGGGAAATTAAGTTAACAGATTCTTGTACATCAACATCAAAACACATTCCACGTACGTTCCACTGCTGGGCATGAGTCTCCTCTCAGGCGAGGGTTTAGGCCATAGTCCGCCACTCTTGCCTAGTGCGGGTTGGGGACTTCACACGTTTTCCGAGTGTTGTGAACTTCTTCAACGTGCAGGTTTCATCACGATGTTTTCCTTCGCCGAAAAGCTCATGACAAATTTCAAATTAAATTTCGCACATAAATTCCGAGAAACTCAAGAGGTGCGAGCCCGGATTCAAAACCACGTCCTGTGCTCGGGAGGCGGTAGGCCAAACCGTTATGCTACCATGCCTTTTTTCTTATACATTTAAGTTAAAAAAAATCTCGTTCTTTATCCATTAAAGCAATAGAATTTAAGTATTTTAAATTATTTATCATAAATAATGTAGCAAAACGTCAAACTCCATAATAATATAACAAACAACACAATGAAAACTTTTCAACTATAGAAAAAAGACGTAGAATAATAGTATCTAATTACGAAAGATGACTTTGAGAAGTGCTTGAAAATGGTGCCAGAGCCGTGACAAAACAAAGACTGATAACTTCGGATAATCGCTCAAAGTTAAGCCATGGCCTGTTGTGCCAATACATACATAAGTTAAATTGCAAAAGTTGTACTCGCCATTATTGCGTTTTGTAAAAATATGAACAAATGACTAAATTAGATT